GTCTGTGTGTGTGTGTTTGTGTGTCTGTGTGTATGTCTGTGTGTATGTCTGTGTGTGTGTCTGTGTGTATGTCTGTGTGTATGTCTGTGTGTATGTGTCTTTGTGTATGTCTGTGTGTGTGTCTGCGGTGTGTCTGTTTGTATGTCTGTGTGTGTGTCTGTGGTGTGTCTGTGTGTGTGTGTCTGTGTGTTCACCGGCTCGCTCCGCGAGAGGCGTCACCGCCTCCACACCCCCCACGCGTGTCCCCAGGTTAACAAAGTCCGTGCAGAAGAGACACCGCAGCCTTCTTCCTCTCTTTAGTCGCAATGCCATTGCACCCCGGGGCATGCCACCCTCCCCCACCCCCACCCTCCCCTACCCCCACCCTCCCCTGCCCCCCCACCCTCCCCTACACCCCCACCATCCTCCCTCTGCTCCCCCCAACTTTCCCTGCCCCCCACCACCCCCTACTCCCCACCCTCCCCTACTCTCCAACCCCCCTACCCCCCCAACCCTCCCCTACCCCCACCCTCCCCTACCTTCTCCTACCCACCACCCTCCTCCACCCCCCTCACCCTCCCCCACCCCCTACCCCCACCCTCCACCCCACCTCACCCTCCCCCACCCCCTACCCCCACCCTCCACCCCACCTCACCCTCCCCTACTCCCCACGCCCACTACCCCCTCCCTCTCCTCCCTCCCTCTCCTCCCACCCCCTTTGCCAACCCCCCGCCCCCCCCTAAATAGGAAGCTAGGGCTGGCGCGATATGATTATTCACGATACGATATCAGACGTCACGGTATATCACGATTATCGCGATACGATATCAGACGTCACGGTATATGACGATTATCGCGATACGATATCAGTTTCTCGTGGCTTTGTAGATGATAGTTATGGTGAATGTGGTGGTGGTGGTGGCGATGATGATGATAGTGGTGGTAGTGATTGATGATAGTTGTGGTGATGATAGTGATTGATGATGATCGTGATGATTGTGCTGGTGGTGTTGGTGGTGACGATGATGATGATGGTGGTGATGATTGTGGTGGTGGTGGTGGTGACGATGATGATGGTGATGATTGTGCTGGTGGTGACGATGATGATGGTGACGATGATGATGGTGATGATGATTGTGCTGATGGTGGTGTTGGTGGTGACGATGATGATGATGATTGTGGTGGTGGTGGTGACGATGATGATGGTGATGATTGTGCTGGTGGTGACGATGATGATGGTGACGATGATGATGGTGATGATGATTGTGCTGATGGTGGTGGTGGTGGTGACGATGATGATGGTGACGATGGTAATGATGATGATGATCGTGGTGGTGGTGGTGGTGGTGACGATGATGATGGTGATGATTGTGCTGGTGGTGACGATGATGATGGTGATGATGATTGTGCTGGTGGTGGTGGTGGTGACGATGATGATGGTGACGACGATGATGGTGATGATGATCGTGGTGGTGGTGGTGTAACGAGGGTTAGAACTTAGGTGTCTCAGGTTCCTCTCTCACACTGCCGGCTGACCGCACAAAGGGGACGAACTCATCCACAGCACGTGCTGCCGTACTGGGGACGTTCCCAGGCCGGGGACCAGTACAGCCCAGCTGCTTGCCGTGCCGTGGCCACGGTGATGTCTGCATGGCTGCGGTGAACCTGAAGCTCCAGGTTCGAGCTCAGACATCGGACTCGCGCTCAAATATTGATGCAGAACGACACGGGGAGGGTGGAGGGGAGGGTGAAGGGAGGGGCGACACGGGGAGGGAGAAGGGAGGGGAGGGTAGACACGGGGAGAGAAGGGGGGGTCGACACGGGAGGGTGTACACGGGGAGGGAGTAGGGAGGGGAGGGGCGACACGGGGAGGGTGGACACGGGGAGGGAGAAGGGAGGGTGTACACGGGGAGGGAGAAGGGAGGGGCGACACGGGGAGGGGGAAGGGAGGGGAGGGTGTACACGGGGAGGGAGAAGGGAGGGTGGACACGGGGAGGGTGGACACGGGGAGAGAAGGGGGGGCGACACGGGGAGGGGCGACAGGGGAGGGAGAAGGGAGGGTGGACACGGGGAGGGAGAAGGGAGGGTGGACACGGGGAGGGAGAAGGGAGGGTGGACACGGGGAGGGTGGACACGGGGAGGGTGGACACGAGGTTCAGCTTTCTTGTCTTCGCGCTGGCTGCGTAGACCCCGAGGCCACCGACCCTTGAGCCCCTGGGTTCGACACCTATCCGGGGCTGCGCGTTTTTTGCCATTATTCATGACCATGCATCGCCACCGTTCCATGCTCAATCCACTGCTGGCTGGATGTAATCGGGGGTCCGCCGCTTCCACCCTCTCGCGATGCCCTTATAGGAGTTGCTACTCGCTCCGTCTCCTCGGCAGTGGTGGAGCTCTGTCGGCTCCGTGATTCCGTCTCGACCACTGTCCATCTTCCCTTCGAAGTAGATGTAAACAATACAATTATTCAACTATATATACTATTTCGATTTTTTCGCCATATAGCATTGTGATATATAACGACTTATGGTTGGTAGCTTAGCTGATTGGAGAATATAGAGTTTATTGATAACATGAAGGTAATTTATATTTTAGTTTTTATTGGTTCACTATATAGTACTGTGAATAGCTCAGATTTGTAGTCATTTCTGTGACCAGTCACTAGCAAATCACCCAGTTATTTCAATGCTAAATTCGCCTAGTTATTTCAATGCTAAATTCTCCTGTTTTGATTTGTACTAAGTGCCTCGGTGAATGTGTATGCTCTGACTTCAACGTAACTATTTCTGTAGCAGTTACAAGCGAATGCCTTAATTTAGCTATTTCAATGCTAAATTATATGCTAATTCCTTTTAACAATGGGTGCCTCTGCGGATGTGTATGCTTTAACAATTTAACATAGCTATTTCTGTGACCAGTCACAAGCTAATCATTCAGCCTTTTCAATGCTAAATTTTATGCTAATTCCTTCGTCAAGGCTCTTTGTTCCTCTCACACAGCTTAAAAGCCGTGATCTGAACGTGGCTCTCTCACTCCAGCGCTGTCCTACCAGACAGTCTCGCTCCCTTCACCTGATGAAGGCCGCTTGTGTTGTGGCCGAAACGTCGTGAGAATATTATTGTGTTATTTTATTTTATCAATTTATTATTTTATTCTCATTCTACGTGACTTTACCGAAAGAACCAAAGAAGATATATATACTATCTTTTATAATTTGACCAGGTAAGGCCACGACTTACGTAGCTTCTTTTTTCAGACGCGCCCCAATCACAAGTGATAGCTCAGCGAAGTGGCGTATGATCATCGTCGTCATCACGTGGAAAAGTGTCGAATCGACAATGTTCCACTCTACCTTCCAACTCGTCTTCATTACCAGCGGGTGCGTCAGTTCACCCGATATGATGTACGTACAGCATTTGTGTTTTTATTCTCACATCTGGAAAGTATCCAAGCTGTAGTGCGGCGTCATATTTCACAACCGCACGTATTCAGTTACGCACTGCGTTATGACGCGCGCACAGAGATGTACATTTACACCTCCACATAGAGACACTCGCACGCCTCGATCAACATCGACGCACGCAGGCGAGCATTTACAAAGACAAAGATGCCCCCCTCTGTTATAGCATTGACAGTCTGTCGGGGCAAGTCTAACGAAAAAAAAATAAATGTAATTTATTTTTTCCAAGTAAGTCCAACTGAGCTGCTATTTGGCTCTTTTTCAGACGCGACCCTGGATATCACAAATGACAGCTCAGCCAAGTGGGATCATCGTGTGGACATTTATAGCAGCAACCAAACACTCTAAACGCGTGATGCTGATTATGAATGTGGAGGGGGAAACCGGAGGACCCGGAGAAAAATCCACGCGGCCACGGAGAGAGAGAGACACGCAGACTCGAAATATACAGCAGGCGTCATTGTCAGGGTCGGGATCGAACCCACGACCTCCTGTATACCAGGCGAGGTAGTTAACATCTCCTAGCCACCGTGATGATGATGAGAGAGAGACACTCAGACTCCAAATATACAGCAGCAGTAGTCATCGTCAGGGTCGGGATCGAACCCACAACTTCCTGCATAGCATGCGAGGGAGTTAACATCTCCTAGCCACCACGGCGAGATGTTACGGGAGATGTGTGAAACCACTGGAAAATCTGTGAAAAAGAGCTTCATGACTTATCGGATTCATCTAAGTCTAAATAAAGATTACGATTCTCAGAGCAATCGGTTTCGTTCTGCAACCGATACAAAGGCAGAGGCACGGCCTTCAATAGCGCGCTCGTACCACTGCTAGCGGAAGCCCTAGCCCACGCCCCACCATAGGTAACTCAAAGTGGCATTTGGCCTTCTCTTCCACACTTGCCAGATGTCTTGGTGTCGGTGGGAGTGCCCACACTTTACCCCACCACACGCGACACTGTCGATCGACTCACAGTGCTGAACCCATTTTTTAATTGCTGAGTACGCAGCAATTATATGAATTGTCTATAGTAGTTCCATAGTTTCATTTATGTTGGTATAGCCCTGTGAGCCATTCGGCTCTTGAATCGGGTGCAACCTCAACAAACAAAAAACATGAACAAGAAAACATCTTAAAGTGACTATGTGTGACTGTGCAAACAGAAAATACAGGAAAAAAACTATCAAAATATTCCTGAAAAAGCACCGTACACCAACGCTGTGTGCAAAAATCCCAGTGGGATGAAAGTCAAATAACAACAACAACAACAACCACAAGACAACTAAGATTATGGCCATCAGTCTATGAATGTGCATACACTGTAATCTAGTGGTAGTGCCTTACGCCAAAAATCCCATCCCTACACCCCCCATCCTCTTTAGCCAGCCGAAGCAGCAGCGTTAAGGGAGAAAAAAATAAAAATCGATTGAGAATTTCGGCTCTGCCCAGAATGCTAAGCAGCCAGTGGCAAACAGCACTAAGTGAGCAGCAGAGTGAATGGAACTCGGGGGAAGGGAGGGGGTAGGGGGGGGGACGGGAGGGGGGGGGGAAATCTTACCTTGAGAAAGCGCCCGGTGCAGTCGGAGGATGTCGTCGAGGGCGAGAGTGAACAACACGGACACGCCGCCTTATTGATCTGTGGAAATCGACTCTCACACACTCACACGGAGTGTGTGTGTGGATGTGGGGGGGGGGAAGTAATAACTAAAGCAGGGCCCACGTGGCTGGTTCCGTTGTCTGGGCAACTCCTGGTTATTGACGCCGCTTCGTTTGACACGGATTCTCGGAAATACCCCGGGGAGAGTGAAAACTTCACCCCACCCCTCTCTCTCTCTCTCTCGCTTTTTTGCTTGGGAAAATGCGGCAAAGTCTGGATATTAATTCTTTTAACGTGACTATCTATGTTTGATGTCTATCAATCGAGGTTGTATATCCATCTATCGATATGTCCCGGTGGCTGCTCAAAGAAACAAACCTTGCAACCAGCAGCGCGATTAGAGTCGTAATGGGTACGTTACAGTTCATTCTATTTGACGTTACACGGATTATGATGGTGATGATGATGGTGGTGGTTTCCATTTAGCCGTTCGCACGGCCGTTTTACCACGGGAGATCCGTGGTGTTACATGAGCGCAGCAACAACAACAACAGCAACAACAACAACAATAACAACAGCAACAACAACAACAGCAACAACAACAACAACAGCAACAACAACAGCAACAACAACAACAAACAACAACAGCAACAACAGCAACAGCAACAACAGCAACAACAACAATAACAACAACAATAACAACTGCAACAACAGCAACAATAACAATAACAACAATAACAACAACAGCAACAATAACAACAACAATAACAACAACAGCAACAGCAACAACAACAGCAACAACAACAATAACAACAACAATAACAACAACAGCAACAACAACAACAACCGCACCACGAACGTTGAGCACGGTTGGCTACGTACGGTGTGAAAGAAGTTCAACATACATTCATCACCTCCGATTTAGCGCCGTTGGCTACGTAAGTCGCAAACGAGGTGCAACGTCCATGAAGCTCCTTTTCAGGGATGTGAAATCTTTGGTGCCCTTAGCAGCTTTGCATCCTGGGTGAGCGCACACTCTGATCCTGCCCCCCCCCTCCCACCGCCATCAGGTCGCGTTCCAAGCTGATTTTATTGAGTCCGAGTGAGAAGCCGAGAGACTACGACACAGACGCATTTGTCCGAGCGAGTAGCCCCGATGTTCCGAACAAAAACAACGACGAAGCAAATCGAACGCCAGCCGCGTGCAGACGAGCTGTGTGCACATCGTGCACGTGAAATTGCACGCACATGAGCGATGTTACGCGCTGCATTGCATCATTGTATAGCACAGAGTGGCACACAAGTCAGGACACATCGGGCGATTTTATTGACTCGAATTTCGCCGGCCCAGCTACTGCGGAGGGCTTTTCAATGCCTCGTGCCTGGCACCCACTCACGTCCTCTGCTATAGTAGATACTACTGACTCTATAGTAGATACTACTTACTCTATAGTAGATACTACTTACTTTATAGTATATACTACTGACTCTACAGTAGATACTACTGACTCTATAGTAGATACTACTGACTCTATAGTAGACTACTTACTCTATAGTAGATACTACTGACTCTATAGTAGACACTACTTACTCTATAGTAGATACTACTGACTCTATAGTAGACACGACTTACTTTATAGTAGATACTACACACTCTATAGTAGACACTATTGACTCTATAGTAGACACTACTAACTCTATAGTAGATACTACTGACTCTATAGTAGATACTACTGACTCTATAGTAGATACTACTGACTCTATAGTAGACACTACTTACTCTATAGTAGATACTACTGACTCTATAGTAGACACTACTTACTCTATAGTAGATACTACTGACTCTATAGTAGACACTACTTACTCTATAGTAGATACTACTGACTCTATAGTAGACACGACTTACTCTATAGTAGATACCACTGACTCTATAGTAGATACTACTGACTCTATAGTAGACACTACTGACTCTATAGTAGATACTACTGACTCTATAGTAGACACGACTTACTCTATAGTAGATACTACTGACTCTATAGTAGATACTACTGACTCTATAGTAGATCCTGACTCTATAGTAGATACTACTGACTCTATACTAGATACTACTGACTCTATAGTAGATGCTACTGACTCTATAGTAGATACTACTTACTCTATAGTATATACTACTGACTCTATAGTAGATACTACTGACTCTATTGTAGATACTACTGACTCTATAGTAGATACTACTGACTCTATAGTAGACACGACTTACTCTATAGTAGATACTACTGACTCTATAGTAGATACTACTGACTCTATAGTAGATACTCCTGACTCTATAGTAGATACTACTGACTCTATAGTAGACAATACTTACTCTATAGTAGATACTACTGACTCTATAGTAGACACTACTGACTCTATAGTAGACACTACTAACTCTATAGTAGATACTACTGACTATATAGTAGATACTACTGACTCTATAGTAGATACTACTGACTCTATAGTAGATACTACTCACTCTATAGTAGATACTACACACTCTATAGTAGATACTACTGACTCTATAGTAGACACGACTGACTCTATAGTAGATACTACTGACTCTATAGTAGATACTACTGACTCTATAGTAGATACTACTGACTCTATAGTAGATACTACTGACTCTATAGTAGATACTACTGACTCTATAGTAGACACTACTGACTCTATAGTAGATACTACTGACTCTATAGTAGACACTACTGACTCTATAGTAGATACTACTTACTCTATAGTAGATACTACTGACTCTATAGTGCTGGGGGCTCCACTCTCTCTGACTCTTTGATTCAGGCTGCCTTCTGGAAGGTTCTTATCATTTAGTCAAAGGACAAATGGACAATCGGAACGCCGGGATTTTATAATAGATTTTTAACAATGGCATTAAAACATGTAAATTCTAGATTTAAAGCTTTCGTAACTGCAAGGATCCTTACTCTTTGGTTCTATTCGGTAAAGTCACGTAGGTAAAAAATAAAACAACAAAAAATCACGACGTTTCGGCCACAACACAAGCGGCCTTCATCAGGTGAAGGGATCAGGCTGTCTCGAGGACAGCGCTGGAGTGAAACAGAGCCACGCTCAGACCGCGACCTTTAAGCTGTGTGCGAGGAAACAAGGAGCGATCTCACATATAATTTTCTCCGATACCAAGGTTCTTTGCAAACCCACGGGTTTTTATCAGAGATTTGGTCACGAGGCAATTCAGATCTACAAGCACAGACACAATTTCAACCGAGAAGATGGTTTCAAATTAAGCAACCATTGGAAAGATGTTCTAAATCGAACCAAACATTAAACTAATTTTCAATGTTTCGATTTAAAGCTTTCGTGACTGCAATGATTCATCTTCTTTGGTTCTTTCGGTAAAGTCACGTAGAATGAGAATAAAATAATAAATTGATAAAATAAAATAACACAATAATATTCTCCTACCAGACAGTCTCGTCCCTTCACCTGATGAAGGCCGCTTGTGTTGTGGCCGAAACGTCGTGAGAATATTATTGTGTTATTTTATTTTATCAATTTATTATTTTATTCTTATTCTACGTGACTTTACCGAAAGAACCAAAGAAGATACTTTTCAATGGTACAGTATATTTTTCAAGTAGTGGTACCCCAAACTTTCGCAGCTTTTAAATTCCCTTTTCACACCATCAATAGGTAAACTCCCCCCCCCCCCCCCCCCCGCGCCAAACAGCAAGTGCACTTGCATGTACACCACCTCTATGCTAAGTCGGGCAATCAAATGCTAATTTTTTATGCTAATTCCTTTGTCAAGGCACCTTGTTTCCTCGCACACAGCTTAAAGGTCCGCGGTCTGAGCGTGGCTCTGTTTCACTCCAGCGCTGTCCTCGAGACAGCCTGATCCCTTCACCTGATGAAGGCCGCTTGTGTTGTGGCCGAAACGTCGTGATTTTTTGTTGTTTTATTTTTTACCTACGTGGTGACTTTACCGAATAGAACCAAACATTAAAATTGTTTATTCTTTAAGTGCGTATGTTATCTCTTAGCATGATTAACATCGCTTCTTAGTCTTCACTTTTTGATGACATTTCAAATTGTTGAAGAAAATTGGCAAAATTGATCAAACACACATTGATTAATGTTCATAGATCACACACACACACATGTGATCTTTAACAAAAGTCCGACATTAATTAAAAAAGAGAATTCATGCATCACGCATTCATGTTCGTGCATGTCAGTTTGAACGTTTGTTTTGTTAAAGTAATTGATATAACCCTACGTTATTTGTTAAAATAAAAATGATCACGACTGACATTTGGGCGACCCTGTGTATGTATATAAATGTTTTGATGATGATGATGATATGTGGTCAACACACTTACTGGACTTGCACTCCAGAGATCATCAACGGAGCGATCTCACAACGCCGGGGTGATGCTACGGTGGTGCACGTGTGGGTCACCCTGTGGTCGGGTGGAGGAGGGAGTGCGACGCACGTGGGATCGATGGCGGTGTCCCGCAGTGAGTGTCTGCGGTTTCAAGCGGCTCACGTGCAGCGCGCTGCAAGGGAAAGGCGTTGCCATCTGCAAAAGCTTGCTGCTCCCGGGTCTTCCGAGGCCTTGAAATCATACAAAGCATTATCTCAAATATTTCTAATAAGGAGATGGGGGTATTAAATTTCATGAATGTGCATTTTTTTTCACGTAATATAACGTTTTTTTTAAATATTAAATTATCCTAATGAAAGTTGCATGTATATTTTCTCACGTCAATTTGACTCACGTAGAAAAGTGAAATGCGATCTCATGTAATTGTGTCGTGATATTCTCGTTATTGAATTAAGTGCAACTTCATTAAGGCGCAGTTGTACAGCGGTGTGGTATACCGGTCTCTTTTGTAAATCATATTGCGATCCAACGAGAGATCTAACGAGACATATAAAGACTCGGTGTCCAAGGGCATTGCAGAACGTCCATATCACTGTGTGGCCTTAAAATAAAACAAAAAATACAGGCAACGTTATGGGCAATGGCCCTACGTCAGAGCAGGGACAGGGCTATGTCTGTGCAACGG